GGGAGGGGGCTGAGATTTTACGACTTCTCAGCGCCGCCGGGCTCCAGTTCCGCTTATCGGTTTTAATTGATCCTTCCCACTCAACCTAACCGAGTTATACAATAAATGTACTGGGGTGACAAACATCTATATCACTAGATGCTCCTAATTTTTGTAAGACCAACGAAATATGAATGAAAGCCGTTGGCCAAACTTGAGCTTGTAGCTTGGCCTATTGGCTCGGCGCGCTGTGGCGCGGGTCGAGGCGGGGAAAGGGGGGGAGGGGGGGGGCTGAGGTTTTACGACTTGAGAGGGAGCCGAGGGCGGATGGACGGGATACAGTCCCGCTAAATGTTGTAAACTGACACTTGCCACTCACCTAATCGAGTTATAAACTATCGTCCTAGGCCGATTAATATCTACACCAGGAGATGCTCCTTATCCTTCTTAGACCAAAGAGATTTGAATGAAAGTCGTAGGCCAAACTTGAGCTTGGGCGTCAGCATAGCCTAGGCTACGCTCAAGCGGCGGCACAAGGCTCAGGTGGCCTACAATGTCGCAAAATATTTTCTAGACAATTTAAGAAAGATGCATTGAGTGCCCTGTAAATAGATTGTAAATAAATATTTCTGAATGCTATTATAAGTTCTCTTTTCGTTTTTCGATGTTAGTGTAGCCATGTCTATGTGTATCACCGTTAGGCTGTCCATAGCCCACACCAAGCACGCGAAGCCTTTTATTTAACCCACATTGAAAAATGTGGGCTTGACGGATTTTTCCTTGAACACGACGAGACGAGGGACACCAGTGGGCACACCGCGACCATCCTCCCAGACCAATCGAAGGCCGTCTCGTAGGCGGCAAGGATGTGCGTTGTGCCCGACGTACGCCGCCCTCGTCCGCGCGCCCCGGACGTCCTGGACGCTGCCCACCGCACCGAGCCCTTGGTGAACTTCCACTTACCCAGTCTGGTGGTGGTGGACGAGGCCTGCAGCCTGGTGCCCCGGCCCCGGTCGAGGCCCCGGTGCCCGGCCCGGGTGTGCTGGGGTGCTGGGGGACTCATCGCGCACCCCACACAGCCCTACCTAGAGCCACGGCCCAGGCCCCCAGGCCCGCCCCAGGCCTCGCGCGGCCAGGCCAGGCTCGTTCAGTTGTTCCCAAAGCCCGCGTGGTCATGTAGTCCCACAAGATGAACGCGACGTCATGAATGGCGGGCGGCACGCTCGCTACGCCTGCGCTCGCCGGCACCACCACGCCGAAGCCGTTGGTGTTCAATCTCGCAACAGCGGCGCGCGCAGCCCGAAGATGTAACTTTCTCACAACGCATTGTATTATTCTTTATTACTCGTAACGTTACACATCTATATTTCTTGGAACTATTACAGACCTGGAACATTACGTCATGTAATGTTACAGTTTTTTACCGTTTCTTTGTTACTTCTTGTAACGTTACATGCTCTTTTCTTGATAAAAGTTCGTTACGTGGAACGTTCTTGTTGGAACTTTTTGAAAGTTACAACATTGTACCGGATCTGATAAATGTATCGTTCCGTTACAAGTTACAGTACCGTAACGAGGGGGTAACGAAACAGCTTCTATACACTCTGTATTTTGTAACGTAACGCTCAAGTGGTAAGTTACCGGTCCCTGCTATGCGGCCTTGTCGCTGACACGGTGCTTCGAGTGCGCGGGGCCGACCGCCCCGCGCTTACATTTTACGACATACCCGATCACCGCTCACTTACCGGACCGGTCTGGCGGCTGGCGCAGCAGCTGCCGTTCCTCTTCGCGGTCCGCGACGCGGTAGCGCCGGCGCATAAGATTTTTTATAGTGTGTACACTTTGATGCGACCCATCCGACCCACGAGATATCTGCCTATGATCTTGGGTCTGTCCGCGCAACAAACCCGCGCTTGACCCGTTGGGTCGGACTGGACCAGGCTGGGTCTGGCCGGACTGGCCTAGCCCGCCCAGTGCGCCGTCTGGGATCATCCACAAAGTACGTCCGTGATTCGCTGTTAAGAAACTGTCAAGTTCAGCCTGTGCTAGTTCTCGGAGCGCCTGGTGGGTAGGCAACTTCTTCCTTGTAGTGCATGTGTGTACTGCGGGCTGGCCTACCTTGAGCCTCGCAGGCGCTCATTCCCCGTTTTGCGCTGAACGAATCACAGAAAAAACTCTACCGCCTCTTTCGCGCATTACTGAAACCGACTGAGTGGGAGAGGGACAGAAGATGTCAGGGCTGGACCGGGTCAGCCGCTGCCGGCCGCTGCAGATCGCTACTGGTTTGGGTCGGGCTGGACCCAAGGCTGGGTCGGCTGGGTTAGCTGGGTCGCGCGCGCCCGGGCCGGTCGATGGGTCTACATGGGACCCATCGCTTCAAGCGCGGGCCGATCAAGAACTGCTCGGGTCGATGGGTCAGGCCGGAATAATCGGTAATCGGTAAGAAAGAATGCTACTGCAGGAGGAGACTAAAATCTGCGTCGACCCAAGCGACCCGCCCATCCGGCAGCTTTAGTCTGCAGCATAAGTGAGAAATCTTGAGGACTAGTATTAAGATAAGATAAAATAATAAGGCTGGGGGCATCAGTCAAACATTAAAAGTTGAAATACATTGTGTTTAACACGAGCAGGTTTAATGAAAATCAGTAACTGGTAGATACAAATGTAATTGGACAGTAACTATTCTGACATACCCTGACATTTAAAAAACAATAAGGAATCCGGCCACTCTCCTCTCCTGCAGGTCGTCTCGGTACACCTTGAACACGGTGTTGCTCCTGGGCGTTACTTTTTGCATGGCTCCCATTGGGACTTAGAACCGCAATGGGAAGCACTAGAGATGCCATGATAAATGTACCCTGGCGTATAAAAACCACGGCCTGCCTAAGCTTTATGCTGGTTCTGGACCTAATCGGGGCCATGATAAAAGTAAGTAACCCCACTCCCCCTTGGTCACGTAACTAGGTAATACATCTGAGGAGGGGGGACACAGGCAGTGGCCTCCATCCTTACCTACAAAATTAGTTTCGACACATTGAGAACTATGCCACTTTGACTCCAGCTGTGGCTGGGATAATGAGCCACCTGGTGCTGCAATTGCTCAGCTGAACCTTCAATTTTGTTCAATTTTCTAATTACATCAGTTTTGTTACAGGATTTGCTGGGAAGGGTGTTCTGCTGGTCATTCCAGCACGAGGAGTGCTTGGTGTGCTTCCCGGAATAGGATCTCTGAAATGTTCTTTAAACCACTTAAAAAGTGCATTCAAATTATCAAACATTTGTTGTCTAAATCTAAATCCATCAGGTGTAACAGTCACATATTCATGTCTGCATCGATTTAATATATATGAAAGCATAAATTTTCCTGGGAGGGACTGTAATAAAGAAATAACTCAAGTAAGTTTCAGGAGAATTCACAAAACTGCAGTCTGTCTGTCAGTCTGTCACAAAAAAATTACTCAGTTGATTGTGAGGACTTGCCTGAGATGCTGATATTATGTAATGAATTTTGTTTGGATTTCTTCGTCTTTCGTCCTTCAGTATTTCTTCTGCCTTGTCCTTTTTCCCCCCCATAGTTTCACGATAGTATTTACATGATATCAAATCACGAGCATATGAAGCCATGGGATTGACATGGCGAGCTATGATTTCATCAAGGTCTTCAAACTTATCTTTGCCAATCCACAAAGATTGACCAAGTGAAAAAGAGTTCTCTTTACCTTCTTCTCTTACATCAATGTGCTGATATGTATTGTCAGCCAGTTTGCAAGTTAGAGTCAAATGGTCTTCTCCCTGGAGAAAAAGTGTTGATCAATTGGAGTTACAAGGAAAACTGGGCATTAAGTAAAAGGGGGGCAAAAAAACGCACTTACCTTACTAGATGGTCTGACAATACATTCACCCTGATCAAGAGAAGCCATGAGTTTCTCAGCTTCCTTAAATGAAATATTATGGAATGAAGGATGAACAATAACTCTTTTGATGTAGGCATGTTGTTGCTTCATCTTCACATTTTCTTCTGCTTTTTTGTCCTTTGACTCCCTCTCGGTATTATAATATGGATCTCGATTAGGTCTGTAAAACAGATAGATGCATAAAATATATTTCTGCAACAATTTTAAAAAATTACCAAAACCTTGAGTATTTAATATCAAAATGTAACCCTACCTCCATTCATGATTGGCATCCATGAGGTCTGAAGATTTGGAGGTACATTCAACTGAAAATCTATTCAAATCTATCTTCGTTATACGACAATGAATTATCTGGTTTGTTTTAACTCTTTCTTCAGGATTACGGACATGTTTATCTGACAAGTTTTTAATGTGAATGAAACCTTGAATACCATTATCTAGTCGTAACTTCACACCAGTAGCTTTTCCTGGACATATTTCAGCATCAAAATGATTCCAAACTTCTGAAAGCTCTGGAAAATCATTTTTCAGGCAGAAAGGACATTGCCACAAGTCAGTCTCATTATTCCTAACAGGGTTGGCATTATCTAATTGCCCGTGTTGTGGTTTCCGATGTTGAATGCCAATGACAGTAGCCAAAATCATTTTCCCAAGATAAAATGTTTCGGGATTCTCCTTGGTTAAAATACCAAAAAGTTCCTCAGGATTAGCAGAGGCAAATGGAGTACGCATGTCCTTGTACCTATGGTTAAGTTCATTACTTATGTCATACAAGGTTATGCTCTTATTGCCAAACCCTTGTCTTTCAAGTTCTTCAGCAAAAGCATCCAGATCAAGATCCTTTAATCTCTCTGGAGACTCCAAAATTTCCTCTAACGCTCCAGCAGGGTTGGCATCCTCATCATCATACTCCAAGGCATCCACTGCCATTTTCCTTGCCCATTCATAGGCTTCAGGATGCACACGAGATCCATCAAGAACTTCAACATATGCTTCAGTACTAAAAAAAAGAAAATATACAGTAATCTTAAAATTTTTCTTCTAATTCCAAAAAAAGTAAAGCAAAACAAACCAAGTATATTACCTGTCTCCCAATGAGTTTGTGTCAATACGGATGAATCCAGCACAATTAATAAAAACCTTAGGTCCCATGTGACATGATGTTACTAATTGAGTACGGTTTTCCAAACGCTGATTCGTCTGCTTTAGAAGCTTGATTAAAGCTGTTCCTTTACGAGGGCCAAGCCCACAAATGAACTGCACAAGGTTAGCAGTTTGGCCAGTTTGTACAGCAACATTGATATCTACTCCAACTTCATTTGTTCGATTCACAAATTCCAGGTACAATGCTTCCAATAAGTCTTCTTTAGCCAATTGGTCCTAGAAAGAATATTTGAAAATAGTTGTGTAAAATATTCCTGCAGAAGGATGAAACTGTTGTCCATAAAACAGAAATAATCCAAGAACTTCTCTCACCTGAAGGGGGTGAAACCGAAGACATAAAATTTCTTCATCACTAGTGCATAGTTGAGAGTACTCTATTAAAGGATCTTGTAACCGGCGTGCAAGCGATATGGCTTGCCTCAAAAGCAGAGGATAATCTCTGAACTCATTCTGAAATTGAAGAAGTTCAACTCATTCAAGTAACTCGAGTGTGGTACTTACTTTTAAGTACAAAATATAATTGAAATGTTAATGTAAATCATTAATTTCTGTTTACCTCTGCCTTAATAGAGTTGGCAAAAATTTTGGCAAGGTCATTGTCAACAATTTCAACATTGATGGAAGGAAATTGATCATCCTCCACCAAATCTTTTACAACATTTTTCAGGTCCTGAACAACCATTAATGCATCTCTGCTCTCTCCACCGACAACAATAACATGAGGCTTTTTAGTTGAGATGAAATTGCGTAGTGCAGTAAGGTCTGCCTCCTGGAAAAAGAAGAAAAAAAACACAAAAAACAAACACAATAGTAGGAGGTAGGCTCCAATGTTTAATAAAAGCTTGTAGTACAAGAAGTAGGAGGAAAATACCTTTTGAAGCTTATCATCTTCCCTGTAACCATTGCGCCTCTTTAAAATGCCTGGCAACCGTAGGTAGTCAGTCACCTCTCCATCTGGGGCAACAATACACGCAAACGCAGCTTGGGAATAATCAGGCACATATGCAAGACCCATGACACGAAGCCCCTTCGACGTGTCATAATCATCTTCATCTTCATCTGGGAACTCAACAGTGTAGGGTGAAACCTGAAGAAAAGTTTTCATTAAAATATTACTTGTATGTAATTTATACTCAACACAACAAAAAAAAAAATACAGAAAAGTATGAGTTTTAACCTCACCTTAATCCAATTGTACAAACGCCGGCAACAGGACCGCAGAACACAATCCTTTGCCTCATTGTGTAAGACACTCTTCAGTTCCTTTCTTATTTCAGGAATTAACATTTTACGAAGAGCAAGATCAACACATTCTACCCGAATTGTATTCCATTCTTGGACATGTTTGATAAATTCATCCTGGCAATTGTAAATAAAATAAATAATACTAGGCCTTGTAATACAATAATAAACAAACAGAAAAATATTGCAAAAAATTTGCAATTTGAATACTACTTATCATACCCTTAGGTAAAGTTGCTTGGCTTCGTCAATAAAAGAAGCAGTGGTCAAGCCTTCTATTTGGTCAGAGAATGAAATAGTTATGTTCTTTTCTTCCTCAGCCATAACCAGTTTCAAAAACTGTTCATCAGACAAGTCACGAACTGGTTTCCCTTTCAAATATTTCAATCCATAAATAGGGTGGTTTTCATCTATTTCCTTTATACCCTTCTTGGTGGGTACAACATCAATTTTGGAACGCTCGAAAAGCGCCTCTCTGACACATTTCCGTACCAATGGCTCCCTTGACAATTGTGCAGCAACCATGTACTTTACAGCCTTCAAGACTTCTTCAGAATTCTGAAATTGCCTGTAAAATATGACAAGAGTAGAAAACCTGTTTTCAAGAGAAGAATGAATAAATGACAAGCAGCAATATTTAGCTCCAACACTTACGCAGAGATATATTCTTTAGCCAAAGCAAGAGGTTCAACAGATTCCTGTTCCACCTCATGTCGTTGGTAATTATCTCTCAGATTTTCAGCAAATTGTTCAGGGGAGAGTCCAAACCGTTTGGCAAATCCTGCTAACCGTGCTTTCCGACACATGCTATATGGTCCAGACCAAACAGCCTGTTTCACTTGATCTTGAGGTTCATCCTCCTCAACATCATCTTCCTCATCTTCAAGATCATCGTCATCCTCTACATCCTCATCAGTAACCTCCTCTTCTTCACCATCATCATTAACTATTGTTTTCTTTTTCTTCCTTCTCTCCCGACGATTACGTTGTGCTTCTTTACGTTGCTGTCGCTCAAGTTTCTCTTTAGTTTTACATGCTATTTGCATAGCTGGAACCTCATGAGAGTAATATAGGAGAAAATGCATGTGCACATCTCGGAGTTCTTCTGGAGTCTGAACGGCTCGCACTCTGGTGAAATTTAACAACTTGAATTAGATCAAGATAAAACTGCACGGTATTTAGAGAAAAATCAAACATCTGATTACCGGTCAATATCATCATCTGTCAAAACTCTGACATCTTCAGGAATGTCTGCTGTGCTGTCCTTAGTTAGCTGCTCCCCTTGATAATCACGCATTTTCTCAAACAGTTTAATAAGTGTTTGTTTGCGTGCCAATAACTGACACCACTGGACACATTAAAGTAATATTAAGACACCAGAAAGAAAAGTTTTAAGTAATTTCAGTAATGAAACATTACTGTTACTGGATATTTTCGACCAACCTTTTCATCATACTTGTACACCTTCCACAGATCACTTAGTGTGAGCTCTGGAGAGACATACTCTTTCCTATAAAACGCAATAAAAGGAACTTCCAAACTTTGATTTCTCATGAAATCAAGAGCTTTCTTAATCTTGTATTGTGTAGCAACGGGGTATTTTCTTGTCTTATCACTCTCAGAATTTAAACCACGCTGAATCCAAAACAGACATCTTTAAAAAAAATATTCAAATAAATGCAATACAGCTGTATGAATGGAAGTGTTTTACCTGAGTTGAAATAGAGGGTTTGCAAAAGGCTTGCTTGTAGATCCAAGTGGCTTCCTCTTCTAACTTTTCGTCGCATTCTGGTGTTACTGGTGTATCACGTAACTGCATCCTTTCTGGTATGTCTGTGTTACGAATCTAGAAAAATGAAAAATGAAAGATGAGGAAAAATACTTTGATCAGAGACAGGAAAAATTCATCAAGATCTGTACTAACCTGATTATCCAGATCAGTAAAATGACCTCTCTTTAGTTCGCTAGGTTCATAAATTTCAAATATAGATTTCTTTGATGTTTTCTTTGCTTTCCTCCTACGAAAATAATAGTAAGTTGTGATTGGCATAGAATAGATGGAAGTATATGGAATGTAATGGGCTGTTATTGCCAAGCCTGACAGAACTGGTCATAATTTTACCTTCTTCCTGGATCATCCTCTTCTTGGTAATCTTCATCTTCTTCATACTCCTCCTCTTCTTGATCATATTTATCAAACTCATCATAGTCAAAATCAACTCCAAAGATATCTTGTGCTTCTTGAAGAGCCCTAATAAGATTAGGACACATAATATAAATCAATAAATTACTTACAAAAGCCTCCTGCTAAGGAAAATGACAGCAGGTACTTACGCATCCGTAAAAATAGGTTTTCGCTTTTTACGTTTATCGGTGATAGGCCGCCCTTCATCATCAACAATAAAATCGTCAGCGTCTGAATAATCATCTCCATCTTCATCACCCTCTTCATCAAAATCGCCTGCAGTTTCATCTCGACGTTCTGAGGACCGATCTTCTTCCTGTCAAACATAAATACACCAATTGATAAACCAAAATGGCACAATCAGCAGACCCTGATCCCTTCATGAAAGAAAGAAAAACCACAACTAGAATACTTAGTATCAAGAATCAAAGAGAAGAAGAAGAAAAAATAAAACAGTTCAAACTCAACTTACCCTTTCATCAGCCTCCTGAGACAATTGAAGCACACAAAAAAATAGTTTAGTCACATCACACTTTAAAGTAGCCAAAATTTGTTACACAAAATCAGGACAACATTAAAAATAGCAACATCCCTTGAAATGAACAGCAAAATTTTAAAAACTTATTGAAAAGCAAAACATATGCAAGCATCTTATAAGCTGGCTAGAAAGAAACATAGAACACCCTAGCTCTAGCAAGAGCATTGTCCTTTTTATCCACAGTTTGAGAGAAAAAAGGAGGGGAGGAGAAGGTGGGGTTAAAGTGGGGCATATAACCCCAAGACGCTGAACTTACATTATCTGATCCTTCAAACAGCTCATTTGCCACTACATCCCTTTCATCTCCTCTGTCTACCTCTTGCTCGTCTTCAGATTCATCCGCCGTTATGCGCTTAAATCGTTTCTGATAAAACAAAAGGAATGAATGGTAATTGTTGTAGAAATTGGAATATAATGCACAAATACTAATTCAAAGAAAATAATTAAAATTTAACTACACACCTTCCTCTCTACTTTAACACCAAGGTTTTCCTCTAGCAAATCATAGTCTTCGTCTTCTAGACGATCATCCAGGTCATCTTCGTCATCACTTTTCTTTCTCTTTTTTG